AGAGAGAGAGAGAGAGAGAGAGAGAGAGAGAGAGAGACTTAGAAAAATATGATTAACTAAAAATTAACAAAACCTAAATTATTTAAAAATTTAAGTTATATCATTGTGAAGTGTTGGTGTTTTTTAAAAACATCATGACTATTTAAAATAATGCATTTAAAAAATTATAAATTGCAGTATCATGCGAGCTATATAAACATCAAATATTTCTTATCTTGCTGGCATTTAATATTCAATTTTTTAAGCCTAAAAGTTTAGTCAATATAAAACTATTAAAATATAAATTAAACAATGACTGACTTCACGGGTAGTTTCAAACTGGTATCAAACAATAATTTTTATGGAGTGCTAAAAGAACTAGGTATTAATTAATAACAAACAAGTTCATTAAAATTTGTAATTAATTTTGATTGTACTAGATGTAAATGATGAGACAATTGCTAAAATGAATGAATTCAAGCCCAGTTTAAGCATCACCAAAACTGGTCCCGTGTATACATATACTATGGTATTACCACACGTGACCACACAGTATAATTATGAACTTGGTAAAGAATTTGATGATGAATTTCTTAATGGCAAAATCATCAAGGTAGATTATATATAAAAATTCTTTTAAAATCATTATTACATTAACCTTATTAAATAGATACAAATCCAATCATTAAGTAATGCACATTTAAAAATGTTTATAATGCTAAAAATGCTAAATTCTAATACAATTTTTAAAAATAACTAATATATCAAAATAGACTGTAGTAGTCGCTGATGGTAATAAACTGATCCAGACTTTCAAGACTGGTGACAAAGAGATGAAAGTGGTCCGAGAATTCAACGGGGATGAGGTGTTAGTAACTATGAATATTGGATCAGCTACTGGTAGTGCTGTTTATAAGCGAGAGTAGACTGTATTATTATTTTATAATAACTAAATGATTGTTACGTTATAAGTTATAACATTTTGAGCATTTATTAGTTATTTAACTGTACTAATTTTATTTAACTAATATAATTAAATTAATTAGTTATTAAAAATTTACTACAATCATTGTTTTGTGTTATAAAAATATTTTATTAAAAAAATAATTCAAAAACTATTCTTACTAAATAAATAATTAACATAAATTATTAATTATTAATAACTACGTTCATGGTTATAATGAAATTGCAATTATTGTGAATTGAATGTGTTTTAATATAAATTATACACTAGTTTTTATAATGAAAGCATATGATTATATTTACAATATTTGCACTAACAAGTAAGCTGTGCTAACACAATGTCATTTAAAGTAAGATACATACGTGTATATAACGTATATAACGGCTACACATTTGTTGCCTTCATTATATTAAATTTTTATATTCTAAACATTTAAACAATTTGCAAAAAAGTAAAATTCAAAATAATTATAGTTACAATAATTAAACAATGACTGACTTTACGGGTAATTTTAAACAAGTGTCGTCCGACGGCTTTGACTCAGTGCTTAAAGAGCTTGGTAAGTTACATTATTTAAACCTGTTTATTTAGATTCATACTCTAATTTATATTTTACAATAAATCAAACAAACAATATATATAAAATTACAATTGCTTGATTTTATAGATAGTTTAAAATATTAAAATAATTCAATAAACATTAATTCACTAGGTTTTTACATTATAAATAATTATTATTTAAAAGCATAATAATTTATATTTAATTTAAATTGTACAAGGCTTAAGTGATGAGGCGGTAGCAAAGATGGATAATTCAACATCGAGTTGGAGTATTACCAAAACTGGTGCCGTGTATACCATCAAGATGGTTTTTGCCTTTATGACTCGGGAGATACAGTTTGAGCTTGGTAAAGAATTTGATGACAAAAATCTCGATGGATCTGACATTAAGGTAAAAGTTACAATTAATATTATGCTAATTCATTAAAAATAAATAAAATATAAACTTGTGTTTAATATAGGGTCTAATAGTTGCTGACGGTAATAAACTGATCCAGACTAGCAAGATTGGTGATAAAGTGATGAAGGTGGTACGCGAATACAAAGGTGACGAGGTGATTGCAACGGCAACTATCGGGTCAGCTACAGGCGTCGCTACCTATAAGCGAGAGTAGATTGTCTAAATAATTTAACATTGAAATATCGAGAAATACACGATATATTTTACAATAAATGTGTAAAAACAAGAAATAGTTTCTAGTTTAGTAATTATTTTATAGTTAATTTTTTTTACTAAATTCAAAACATTTATTCATATAATTAAGATTAATTATAATTAAAGATTGTTTACTACTCAATTAAATAAATAAAAAATATTTTAAATAATAAATTAATGCTGATGATTCCAAACTAATTTAACCATGTAAAATTTGAGATAAAGAAATGAAAGTGGTTTAGGGAGTTTATGGATTAGACCTAGATTTTTAATAACCTAGATTTTTAGCTCAAAGCATTGAAGTTTATTAGCAAGTGTAAACTGTATTAATTATTTTGGAATTAAAATGCAAATTAATAAAATTGTGTTTAAGTAATGTTGGCCAAAACACTACGGGTATTTAATAGTTATTTTTATAGACACCTTGTATTTATTTAGACTACGAATGCACTAGAATTATTTTAGTACATTCTTGTACACTAATTTTAATAACTAATAAATAAAATAAATCAATTTACATCAAAATAAATATCATACTTATTAAAATGTTAAATCATTTTGTACTTTATAGACCTTATATGTACTGTATTTGTCGCGAATTAATTATTCTTAGCATTTATAATACAGTATTATTAATACTGTATTAATTATATTATTATGAAAATAAAATGATTTCACTTTTTCTATTGATTGTTGTGTAAGAGATGTAAAAATAATTGAATATTTAAGTCATAAAATGCGTGTACTTTATATGTATACCAGACATACATACTGTACATGAAATAAATAATAACAACAAATATCATTAAAAATATTGCATTCATTTACTATTAGTACTATTACACTATAGCCCTAATAATTTAGTGCATAATATGTAAATCGACTATTGATTTATTGTATATTTAATGAAATGTGGTAAAACATTAAGCCATAATACAATATACTGTGCAAACTAAAGCGTTTTGTTTGAATCCTATCTAAATATACTTTATAAATATCATACATATTATAAGTCGAGACCTGTTTTAGCGCACAGAATATTCTGGAAGTCTGATCGGTATAAGTCTAACAGAAACTTAATAAATCTAGGTTTTTGTTTGCCCATTTTCTAATTAACTATATAAATCTTTGTTGAAAAAGTTTCAAGATTAATTGTCACAATTAAACAACTCATTAATACATTAAAACTCATTAAAGAGAATAACCCATTAAAACAACGTGATAATAATAATGACTGACTTTACGGGCACGTACAAAGTTGTTTCAGCCGATAATTTTGATGCTTTTCTTAAGGAGCTAGGTAGTTATGATGCAATAATCTGTTTATCTAAAAAAATTACTTGTTATATTGATAATCATTAAATCTAATTCAAGCATAACTTAAATAAATGTTGTAATTATAGTAAAAATTATCATTATTAAAAATTTATTAACTAATAAAAACTTTAAATTCAGGCGCCAACGATGACATGGTAGCCAAGTTAGACCCGTCGACTGGCCAATTGACCATCAAGAAAAATGGCCCTGTTTATACGCTTATTCAGACATCAGCCATGTTTGACCGTGAAGTCCAGTTTGAGCTTGGTAAAGAGTACGAGGACAAGCACCTCGATGGCTCACCTGTTAAGGTATATACAGTACACTTAAGACACTTTATTGAATATTTATTTTTCTTACTAAATAATAACATTTGTTTCTAATTAAATTTTATTATATAACTTGTAATTCATAAATTTATTTAAAACCACTTTGGCATTATTTGTGGTAAAGGGTTTGGTGATCGCTGATGGTAACAAATTAATTCAAACCGCTTGTATCGATGGCAAAGAGCTAGAAGTTGTCCGCGAGTTAAATGGCGATGAGCTCATCGTTACGGCCAGTTTTAATGGAGCCGTAGCTAATGGTGTCTATCAGCGAGTGTAGACTGTATTGCCATTTAATATACACGCATAAACTTATTATATTAGCTTTTGCACCGACATGAAATAAATACAGAATTTAATCTCATGTAAATTATAAATTACATTTATTTTATTTATTTTTATTTATTTTCTAGCAAGGTTTTATTTAATTATTACAGCATCGCGTATTCAATTATGCAATAATAACTAATTTAACTTATTAACTTATTTAATTGCATTAACTATTATGATAATACTATTTAAATCTTAAATGCTAAATGTGTGTATGCAATTTTATGCAAATTATAATTTAATTCAATAAAATTCACCATCCAACAATATTCTATTATTTTATTATGTTAAAATCTAACTACACTTTAAAGGCTACTTAAACATAAATTATATTTTCAATAATTATAAATTATTATTGATTATTAATTAATTATATAGTTTAACATGTGGAAAAATGTTTCAATAATTAAATTTAAAATTTAGTTATATTATACATTAAATAGTGCAAATCTAGTGCGTTTAGGCATATGATCTAGTTGGGTCAAATGTCAAAATATTATATTCAAATTAATTTGTGCATGTGATTATTGTGTGTTAATTAGCGTAAATTAAAAGTTCAATTGAGTGCTAAATGTGTGATAATATGTGCCAAATATCTAATCAGTTAATAAATATATTTATTTAGTTTAAAAATATTTTAAATTTAGATAAATTGTATTAACATGTATCAGAAAAACAGATCATATCGTATGATTACATGTGCCCAACGGTTACTGAACCCCCACCAAAAACCTCCCTGATAAAATACCAGACATAGTCTGTATTTATACGTCTAAAATAGATATAACATAACATCCCATTGACTGAACAGTAGTTACTAATAATAGATTTAATATTTAAAAATAACTTACAACTAATTTATAAAAAAATATCAATAATTTTTTAATGACAATTATAACAAATATTTGTTGCAAATAATGTAAATGTAAATTATGCAATTTATAGTAAACAAGGTTATAAGATAATGTACGAGTACGTACAGAATTGTACTAGTACATCAATTTTTATATTTTACCAGTTGTTATGTTATTACATTGAAATGAGAGAGAGATGAGAGAGAGAGAGAGAGAGAGAGAACTATTGATAAAATATAAATAATTTTTGGATGACACGTAACATACATATGCATGAAAATTATGCAAACAATTATACCGTATGTCTGGCCATAGATGTGATATATGGATGATAACAGTCGGTTGACTGTCTCTTTATCACACATAACGGGGTGTGTCTGTGTTTGGCAATTGACAATCAGCCTTACCATCCCCTCCGATAACCCTAACATCCAATGCATTATGTAATACTACGGCAAACAATATGCAATTTGTATTAATTTAAACACAAAAGTATTTAAATATCGTCACCAGCCGTAGGGTTAGCATCAGTTTTACGTTTCAGACGAGAAAAAACACTTGTGGTTAAAGTATGAATAATTAATCACGTTGTTTTTAAAATTTATAATCATGGTAAATTTTATTTGCAAATAATTAATGCAATATTCTTCTTAATTTATATACAGAAAGACCTTTTTTGTGGTACAATAATGACTGACTTTACCGGTAAATACCAATTGGTTTCGTCGGACAACTTCGATGAGCTCCTCAAAGAGTTGGGTTAGTTCTCTCTCTCTCT